AAAAATCAATATCTTCTAAATTCGTATCAACTTTATCTTTATTATTGTTACAATATGAATAAACCTTGTCAACTTGTCATACTGCAAAGAGGAAATCCAAAATTAATGATAGATGATTACTTGTTTGTAAAAGATTATGCGCATAAAAATACTTATTATTGGTTATATGATAAAAAAAAGTCAGAGCCAGAGTACTGCAAGATTCGAGCAATTACTATTCTCTTAAATGGTTTACACTATCTAAAAAAAACTGATGACCATAATCATGCTTCTCAAACCAGTAGTGGTGAGATTATACAAGTTGTTGCTCGTATTAAACAACAAGCTCGAAATACGCAAGATGCACCCTCTAAAATAATTCAAAACAATATTTTCACCATTCCAAAAAACCTTTCACTTTATATACCTACACCGGAGGCACTTCAAATAAAGATTAAATGTGTTAGAATAGCTACAATGCTACCGCAACCTCAGACTCTTGATGAGATTGATATTCCTGACTCATTACGTTTAACCTTAAATAGAGTCCTATTTTTAATAGAGGATTTAGAAATTAATGATAATGACAGAATCCTTGTGTTTACTACAAAAACTAACATGCAGCGTTATCTCAAGCTCCTTATTAGATTATGGATAGCATGTTTCAGACAGTCCCTACTGTTTTCTACCAACTTTACACTATCCATGTACCTGTTGGTACAAATGATAATTTTCAAATTCTTCTACTTCTATATTCCTTAATGAGTAATAAATCGGAAGCACTTTATAAACAACTATTTTAAATTATATGTAACTTTGCAGAAGATAATGATCTTCAACTCAATCCATTAACGATCATTACCAATTTTGAACAAGCTGCAATTCATATATCGTCTAATATATTTTCAGGTTAGTTATTAATTTTAATTTATAATATATTGATATATCATATTTATCAGACGTGGGTACTCTGTGTATTTTTATAATTTTTGTACATATATATGTATATACATATGTATTTGGGGATTTACTTATTTTCTACTGTAATACAAACGGTTTAGGGTTAGAAAAAACAAAAATTATACTAAAATTTTGCAAAATTTTTATTTTGTTAGAACATCAAAGGTAGTTTTTTAGGCAAATATTCATATTATTTGTAATTAAAAATACTGACAAATTTCGCATTATACCTGATCTTGTGATCTATATACAAAATATTTTTTTTTTGGTTTGTATCACGATGGGAAATAAGAAATATATAGAATATAATATAAGTTATACCCAAGTAAAAATCACTATTTAACATATTTTTCTAACATATATACCTGTGGACTATATCCTGCAACTATTTAGAGTTCCAAATTTTGATTTATATAAGTATGAACATAAGACATTCTAATAAAATTGGAGTTGAAAAGACGAACCTAAGAATTTTAATAGAATTGGAGTTGAAAAA